TCCCAATGCTGTTCTCGGATTTTGTTCAGAATGTTGACATGTGTCGGGTATGTTTGGGATCTATATCTACAATCTATATACATACTGCATCATTTTGCTGAACAGTTCTGGTCCCTTGCGAAGGCAGCAGATTTCACGTTGCGGCGCTGCCGTCCTCCATCAGATCTTGGAGCCCGTTCTCAAGCGACTCGGTTCCACGGCTCATTTTCCTGGGACCAAGTCGGGCAAGGTGATATATATATATATATATATATTATTATATATTCATTATGTTCGCAGGCAACAGTTTCTTTTTTGTATCAGAATCAACGTGTGTTGTGAATCAATGTATGATCTCATCCCACACACCATCCAACTGTTGAGGATTCCAGCTAATGACGAGCAATGCATCGTTTGTGTACAACTTGACAATTCCCAAGTCCCCTTGAGCTGTGAATCGATGTAAGAGCAGTTTCAAAATGCGAGCATAACTTCAACTTCCCAAACAAAATTATGGCCACAGGTCCAAAATGGAGAATCTAGCGGAATCGAGTTAGAACCACCACGATTCTAGTTGGTGCCTTAAAAAAAACATCCCCAAAATGTTCAGCCCTCGAAATCCCCAAAGTTTGGCCAACATGTGGCCATGAAAAAAATCAATAGCCTCTAGTAATTTGTTAACATAACTTTATAGACAAATGCATAAAGCCCTGGCAAAACTACTTCAATGGTTTACATTGATTACCATGTTCATTCTTTGGTGATCTTCAATATGAATGTCGATGTTAAATTACCTGAGGGTTGCTCCCAGCCCGGTCACAAGGCGGGAAAGTTTCAGTGAATAAGGAAATCAAACCAAAGATTTCCCATCCAACCCTGGCCATTTACCCACAAATGGTTGGAGCAAACCTGACCAGAGGGTACCCTCCTGTAAAGTAACGATGTGGAAACTCCACTTGTAGATCATGTTCCTAGGGTTTCCCTATGGGTTTTCCACAGCTTTTTGTTTGTTCACCCCAGTGTAATATTTGGCTTTGTCCGGAAATGGTTTACCTCCAAGTTGAGGCAATTTTAATAACTTTAATCGGGAAATTGATTGTAAAACCATCAAAGTTGGTGGTTTTCATCTATTTTCATCTATTAAATCACTAATAATGGTGTTAAATGGTTTACATCATGATTTCTTGATTGACAAACCCTTAAAAAAAAACACACCAACAAGAATCAGCTGCAACGCATCCAGCACTTGAGACTCCGAGGGGATCAACTTCACCTCGAGAAGCGAAACTTCATCTGCAGGATCTATAAACCCTCCGTTCGCAGCCATAACCCTATAGTGTTAATATGTGTTTACCCATTTTAAAGATATTTGGATGGTCTAGGTAGCGGCTTTGAGTGGGAACTGTTGAGATGTGAAACATTAGGATAACTCTCTGTGTGTGTGTGTTTTTGGTAAGCCAAAAAGTTTGGACCCTCTAGCATACTTTACCATGACCGAAAAATTGGGCGACATACTGTAACTTCATTCACACATGAACTACATAGACAAAGCACATGCTTCACTTGACTGAGCAAACTGAAACAAGGCATCCCTCCGCGGGCGATAGAAACATGTATGACCTATACAACAAACTCATCTTGCCCTTCAAAACAGGTATCTCAGAACCTCCAAAAGTCCACCCAAGGGCAGTGATTGGGAACACAACCACTTTAAGAAGTCAAACCGTCTATATACCTAAATCATAAACCCAACAGCGCAATGCAATAAACCGCCATTTCCCGCTGGGTTATGCATGTCTATATCTGTATCTATATTTCTATATATATATATCTAATATATATATACACATATATATATATATATATGTTCTATCACACCTATTTCTCATGGTGAGCTGCGGATCGCAACGATCGCTTTTTCAGCGTGCCTTGGAAAGACCTAAGAGGCTGCGGTCCACCGTCCCGGAGGACTCATGCCACGCCAAGAGAAGTTTGGTGTCCCGTTCCTGAGCCATGGCTCAAGCCACTCATCCCAAGTGTGTGTGTGTGTGGAACCTCAAAGGCTTGTAAGATATGTGCGTATGTATATATATATATATGTGTGTGTTAAAGTATAGTTATATAATTAATCTTGATATGCAATTATAATATTTAAATTAAATTATAGTAATATTATATCATATTGTATTGTATTGTATATTGAATTATATTATATCACACTAAAAACGACTACAGTATATATATATATATATATATGATTATATATGTTGTAGCCAGACCTACCAAACGGAAAACAAAAAACATAATTCCCACTACTACGTACCGAAAATGGCTAAGGGACGTGGCCCATCTCCCACCAGTACAGCTCCGATCTCATCTCATATCCATCTCAAATCGATGGGCGGTGTTCATGCTGTCAACTGCTATGATGCATAGTTGATGAACCATACAAATTGCCATTGCAGTTGCATCAACTATGAGCCATTTGTACAACTATCAGATGCGATTTTTCGAATCATTTGTTGAATTTAGCAACGGGAATTCTTTGTGCATCAAGATGCATCATGTATAAGAACCAATTCTCAGTAAATCTCATTTCTCCAATGATGCATCGTTCTACAAACATCAACGATTGCATAAAATGCAACTGCTCAACTGCTCAAGCTTCGTCATACACACTCTTCGACACAAGGCATGCGGCCACAATGGCCTCATCCATGTCCGATGTTCCCCAGTGGGGATGACGCGCTCCCGCTGTGGGCACTTCAGTTACCCATCTTGCTTGTGGTTGACATTCAAACACATATATTGAATTCAATCGGGATCATAAATTATTCAAGCCAAAATCGATCACCTACAAAAACGTGTTCAACCACCAGCAAACCCTGCTTCTGCATGCTTCTCTAGATTAATTGCCATTCTGGTTTCGTCCTAAATTAGTATACTTTAAAATCCGCTATTGCTTTTCATCATGTTCCTACAGTATTGCATACAATTAATACATTGGCATAACTTGGAGTAAATAACCAATTTTGGGCAACCCCAGGGTATTTTGATGCATTGTATCCCAATTTCTGACGTGCAACCCCCCCGACTCTTGATACCCATCCATTTGTCTCGATGAACAGTAGTAGTTCAACAGCCTGAAATAATGTGACTTTGAGGTAGTCCTCTTGACCATAATCATAAGCATAGTGGACTTTCTGCCGACGAAAATGAGCATGAGGTCACAATATATTTCACCATTGGTAAGATCCCAGTATTTGATGGCAAAAAAACAAAAAACATCACATTCTGGCTGGTTAAAAAGGCCCATGTGGCTTAAATTGACCATTGATCGAATCAAACCCAGCGGCAACCTGTCCAGCCTGGTGAACCTCTGCCCTGCTCGATGCAGATTCCAATGGATGGCTCTCCAAACGCCACAGGAAGCGCAAAGGCTGTCTTCTTGGCAAAGCCCGCCGGACATGCCCTGGAGGCAACCAATATTTTGGAACCACGGAACCACAGGGAAAATAACAATGCATGGCAAATGTAAATGACAAATGTATCTGAATTGCATATTATAATTACTATGATTATCTATGACTGCACATAGATCAATAATATATAGGTGCTTTTGGTTGGAATAGGTTGTGTTTCTCACTGTTGTGATCTGGAAGCTGTTTTCAGCATGTGTAGATCTGGATTCGTTTCGTCTGTCAAAGTATCCATGTAGACGTTATGAGTCTGGCTCATGCATATGACTGGCTAGACAGTTGCTTGACAGTAATTGAATTGTCCTATTCCGGCAAAAAATGGTGGATCTCAATTGCTTTCTCAGTGCGATCTGTTTTGCCAGGGTCAAGACAGCCTTTTGTTTGGGATGGTCGTCCAACCCCCTGTGGTTCCCAAACAAAATAAATTGATCAATCTGCAGGGATCGCTTCCAGGAGGTCCTACGTGCTATTGGTGTTTGGGTGTGTTGTGGATTGGACTTGTGTATATATGTTGACTTGCTTGTTTGTTGGGCTGCCGCTTATATTTGTTAGGGTGTGCACTGAACCACCTTGAACAGAATTGAACTTATTTACAGTAAGTTGGAACAACGCATGTGCATGTGAACAGTTTGGACGCCATTTTAAGTTTGTAGGAACCAAGTTGGCAAAACGTTGAACCCTTCGAGAACATATGCACCACCAACTTGCGAAATGCCACAAAGAACCATCTAGCTTCCAAGTTTGGCAGCACTCGGAGATCATGGACACATGCTCCAGAACAGCATCAGATTTGAGGTAACAAAAAATGTATATGCGTTTCACCATCATTTGGCCATGATTTGCGGTTGAAATTACATGAAATTACTTTTCCATATATTTTATTGCCTGTAACAATATCATCCAAATGTGTTACACTCCCAAATTATCCAAAAATATACGTAGACTATAATACCATGTAGTACAATAATATCAAATAACCACCTGGTCTATTTTACTGTTGTTTTATAGCAACACACTTAACCCGCTAGACTAACCTGCTCAACCAAGGCTTACCCGGTCATGCAAACTTTGTACTTGGGCGTGCATTCAAGGAATTGTAACTTTCTACTACCCGTGTCATCCTGTGTCTATATCTGGGTTATTTCATACGGTTGTTACCCATTTATGATTCCTGATATCTAAGCAGATGCTTATGGACCTGATAATGGACTAAACACCCAATTGCTCAACTTCCATGAGCAATTTAGAAATCCACCTAGTTGTCCAGGCTAACTTCCTAAGCATAACATGTTTGAACAACCTCACACACAATATATATATATCAATTATATAATTATATATATATATATCAATTATATATATATACATAGCAATAATATTGATATAATTGTATACCTTTATAATTTATAACCCATACAGCACTCCTTCCCCATCTGAGGCTCCGTCGAGCCGACGTAAACCGCGGCGCGCTGCTGTGCTGCACGTTGACGGGCCGCACCGCAGGCAGCGGCGGAAGTGCGGCGCCATGGCGTACGGAGGAGAGGAGGTGAAGACAGGCCTCGGTCACACTTTCCATCACCATAGTTGTTTCTTGTTGTACAGGTAGCTATCTGGATTATCTCATTCATCTATCTTGTCAAGTGATGGATAGATCATTAATGAATCAATCAATATCAATCATATCTTGCTCGCCCCACCCGACCCTGCGAGTTCCAAACAACGCGCCGAAGTACCGCTGTCGGAGCACCATACCCACATTCCCCTGAAAGTTGTTTTTGAGTTTCACTAAAAAACCCTTAAATTTTATGCTAAGTACATCTTGGTAGTATCATTCTTTTGTTTTTCATATGGAGGTTTCCTAAAATGGGAGTACCCTGCATCATCCAGTCATTATACATTTTTAGTATATTTTTGTATTGAAACCACCATGGTGACTTCGGGATCCCCCTTTTGAAGAAACCCTCATATGTTTTAAGTGATTCTCAACCATTCTACGTGAGTGGTGTTTTTATCCTTGTCTTTCGATGACCACTAACACATAGCCTACGCAACTGTCTACGCCAAGTTTACGCCATTGCATGAGGTAGCCTACGCGATGCCTTCTAAAGGATGCCTACGCAAGCCTATAGGCCGTGTAGGACCCTACGCGGCCATGTTGTTTTTGTTCTCCCTTGTGGCATGAGGTTTTGGAAGAACAAACCACACACATCGCCAATTGTTTCGATGCTGAAAATTATTCAACATGAATAAGTTCCAACTGCCAACGAGTGTCTACACAAAGCCTACGCGGTGGCTACACGCCACGAGCCCAATGCCTAGCCGTCGAGGCACCGAGGAATGCAATGCCACTGGACCCAGCTGTGCGGAGCGCACCGAGCCGACGGCGGCCACGGCTCTGCGGATAGCCAGCACTTCTGCCTCGAAATCCTCCGATGGACGGAATGATTGGAGTTATGTCATATATGTAATATATATGTGGTAAACAAAAAATAAATTTTCCTAAAATTTGGCTAACCCTATTTTACATCATCCAAAAAAAATCAGATGTTCCATCCATTGGAGATCACCCATTTATGGAAAACCCCTAAATTAAGAATCCAGTAATGTAGTGGGAATCCATAAACATAAAAATACCTTCGTCCGCTTCGGAATGAATCCGTACAAATGCCCCAACAGATATGCATAGTTAAAAAATAATGATAATAGCAACTATGACTATAATCCTAACAATAATGATGATCATGATGATGCTAATGATTAAAAACACATTTATAATTTAATAGCTACCTCTAATATGTTTGTTAAACAACACACATATAAATATATATATATGTAGAATGGTCAATCATTTCCATTGCATCCCCAAATGGTATAGGTTCCATGATTGGCGTCACCACGGGAGGATTGGGACAATCAGCCTGTCATCCTGAGCATGATAGTGGCTGCGTTTCAAACCAGCTTCAATAATCGGTTCTGTCATGTTGGTTCCGCGGGTCGCTTGCAGAATCTTGGGAAAACTCATGATATCTTGGTTGAAATAGTCGTCGGCACGTTTTTGTTGGCACGCCCTGCCTCCCCTGGGCCCTTTGACAAGTAAAAATAAAAACACCATCAATCAGTTGACATAACATGAGTCACCTTGAGACCCCCAAGATAGCGGAATCATTGAGCTAGGCTATAAAATTGCAAAAAAAAAACAGCGTTTTCGACAATAAATCACTTGGAGGGTCGCGAAACCAGGTAAGAAAAAAGGTTTATGGTGAGCCTTGTCCCCTCCATTTTATAGAGGATATTAGAGCAGGGGTAGTATGATTGTCATCCAATGTCATCATCCAAATGATGAGGGATTTGTCCAGGAATGGATTATTTTTGAACAACACGAAATATTGATGATATCAAAAGTATGGAAAATGGACAAATGATATCAAATTATATCAAAGTACTACTACGTCCATACTTTGTTACCAAATGGACAAATTATATCAAAGTATGGAAACTTTATTCCCTATGGAGGATTTGTCTGGAGGATTTGACCACTTTCTAAAAGGAATTATGGGAAATCAAATCATCCTGCAAAATGAGGTTTCCGATATTTTTCGATACAACCATATTGGGAATTGCTTTGAGGAAACTAATGTTTTTGTTTAAAGAGTATGTGTTGGGAAAATGATGATAAACCATCATGGATTGGACTGTTGCACAATTCATGGAAATTTGGGGCCAAAATATTGTCATTCAATAAGGAAAAAGGTCCTACAAGTAATACAACAAACAGCATTAGCAATTGGGGAAATTAAAGAAACCAAAAATGGCGGAAGAAGAAAACAAAGAAACGTAAACAACTCAAGAATAAGGATGGCAACCCTTATCATGAAAAATCATTATTCTACATATACAATGTGTATATATATATATAATTATATATTAAACATGTTACACAACATTATTGAGAAAGTCGTGAAGTTTGGCACCGGGCCTCATGAACTCCCAGACAAACTGCTGCTGGCCCTGCTGGCTGTGGCGCAGTCCAGCTCCAATCCTCCTGGCAGAGGTATGAAACATGTATGAAACTTACATACAGTGGATGGTTGTGAAATCTTACACCAGTTGGTAGATGGTAGAAATATGTAGAAATCCCATTATAATCTTAATATGTACAGTGTTTCATAGTTACACAGCATATCCATCCATGTCCTTTCATTTGACCTCTTCATAGCTCTCCAGGTATCGTTATGGAATGTAATGGATCTTAGCCACACCATAACAATTCTTTGTGTCTTCATTTGGGCTCTTTCAAAAAGAAGATCTCTTATCTTCGCTCATAAAGCCTCAAAGGCTATGCATGCAGGTTGGACACCCCTCAATTTCCTAATACCACTACCTCGGGTCGACCCAAACAAGCCTTTGTTCTGGCATTGGGGCTCTATGTACATTGGCTGGTGCTCATTTCTTTGAAATCTGTTGAAGGAATTGGAAAATGAGCCACCGCAGACTGGCACCTTAGCTACTTTTAGACTCTTAGCCACTCTTCAACCCTCTTAGGTGGGGAATGATGGCCCCTCTGGGTGATATGTGGTGAGATGCCTTGGGAGCTCATAGGCACATTGGTTGTGAGGACTCCAGGTAGCAAAAGGATTTGCTCCCGAACCCATGATGTCACTCAAACACACCAAGACCCGATGAAGACCTTTCAGGGCCAAGGCTTTATGAGCAAAGGGGTCAGACCAACCCCCTATGATTCATGCTGAAAATCTACAGTAAATGTTGTTCTTCCATGCAATGTATTAGATAAATATTTCTGGGATCTTCATGCCACAAACAGAGAGGTTGTGAGTTGGAATCGCCCACCTCAAACAAGTGTGCAGCAAGTGGTTCTATCTTCATATATGGTATCTTCGCAACAGTTCACCATATTCAAACACTGAACACGCAGATCACCGTTAGTTTGACATTCCTGGTGGTTTTAAAATGATTCAATGCATCAGCGACAGGACGTGCGATGAAGGGGTCCACCTCTTGGGGTAAAACAACAGGTTTCCCTGTTTACCAGGCGAAACACCATTCGTGCGATTTTTTTAAAATGAATCAACTGAGGCTCAATGAACATACAGGTTTCTCAAAATTTAGCTACAGTATCACTCAAAGGCCATCTATTATTGTGTTAATTTAGTCTTCCCCCATTAAACGTGTAATTTTGTGAGGTATGCCCAATTTGTGGGCAGACCTGCATAGTGTTTGTTCTGTCACATATTTATATGCATTGATAATTATACACTTGTGAATTGGCAACGGTATCGTGCAGTCCAACGCGGCTCTTTTTGCTAGTAGCGATAGCGATGTAGCTCAAGGGCCCTGATAGCCGAAATGGCAGCAGACACTACATGTGACGACCTGGCCTTTACATGGAGTATCACATACCACAAATTGACACTCAACCTGTTCTTCAGGTGTCACATAGAAATATATACGGCTATGTCTGTACAGGGCATTGCGGAGAAAGAACGCAGTGGTGTTATTACTGCTTCTGTACTTTGTACATGCACTCTGCCAACACTCGAATTATGAAATCTGGTTTCATACTCTTTGTAAGGCAGTCGCTGATCATGGTGTGTGTTGCTATCCATGACAGCTTATCTCCTCCATTCGGATAGATGTCCCATGTTTTTCGGTCATCATTCCAGTAGGATTCGTGAATACTTTGTAATTCGATGCCAAGTCTTTTGTCGCTCACCTTCGCCAGGATCTCGGAAGCCAAGTGGTCTGACAATGAGCGGCAATCTGTGAGGGCTAAGTGCGGTACGCAGCTCCTTGCATCAGTTTCCCATGTCCGCATGGATTTGATCTGGCCTTTGAGTTCTGCCAAGACACCTCTGAGCTTGTCCCCTGCTTCGAGACCATGCTGCAGTGAATACGTCTCAGCCTGGAGCGTGCTTCGACACACACGTCGGATCGTGGTAGAGCTGTAAGACAGAGGCATTACTCTGTACGTGTTGCAGCTACTGCTCTTGATCTCTGTGAGGTCTCCAAGAAAGTGACAACGTCCCTGTTGGGAACGGTAGTTCTGTTCATTGGAGAATGAAGCGTCAGTAATTGTGATCAGACCTATCTCATCCCATTTGAGATGTCCGCTTGGAAAACGAAGCCTTACCTGATCACCTTTGTGAGCAAGTTGTACAACTGCGTTTGCGTCGCACAAAGTGCTGACTGTGGCATTTTTGACTGAAGATTGTAGGCGGCTAACTCGGTACGCCAAATCTGGTCTTGTCTGGCGAGCAACCCAAGCGAGTGACCCGGTCACCGACCTAAGTCGTGTGATGTCATCACCTGAAATCTTCTCACTGCCTGGACGGCCAGCGTCAATTGGAATTGGTTTGATCTTCCTGGTGTTATCGACGGTGTCGACGAAAATGTCTCCGTCACCTGAACGCGAAAACTGCTTTCCGCAATACCTGAACTCGTTCACTTCGGTGCTGCCGATGTTGAACTTATTCAGAAAACGTTCGATGACTTCCTTACCTTCGGGCAAGTAACAGTACAAAAGATCGTCAACATGTGTGCACATCAATGCGCATGTATCACCATCGCTCCCTGGAAGAAAATAAAGACCTGGGAAAAACTGTGATGCTTTCATGCCTTCTTTCTTGGCATCTCCATCCAATCGCAGCCAAAATCCGCGACCTGAGTCTGTGAGTCCATAGATTGGTACCCTTACGAGGTAAACAATTCCCTCGTCAACTCCTGGGATGCCACCCCGGGGTTGTCTCATCAGGAGTACCCGGTCCAAAGGTCGTCCTTGGAAATATGCTGATGTCACATCAGCCGAATGCAAGTCGAGCTCATGTGCTGCACACCAACGGCAAATGAGGTTGTGAACCTCAATGTCAGCTGTGGGGCTGTCTGACCTCAGACCGTCACTGCATTCGAAGTTTCCGCAGGAAACTAACCTGCTTTTGTATTGTGGCTGGTAATTTGGATCTCGGCCTTTCTTGTACTGAGCTTTGTCAACATCTACCCATTTGGAGGGTATAATCTGATGTCCCTCAGCAACAAGCTCTTGCACTTGATCCGGAGTCAGTGGCACGACTGCTCCGAAGCTTTCAAACTTTGACCATTCCTGGGCTCGAGAAGCTTGCAGTGCCTTTTGAACCTCAGGTGGCGCTGATTCGAAATGAATGCTTTTCAGGACCTTCTTGCCTTCTTCTACAATCTCATCTTTCCCTGCCATAAAACATGTGAACATGGCTGTGGACTGTTCAACTTGTTCTACGGACCATTGTGCGGCCGCATTTCGGGCTCGCTCAAAGTGGCTCCTCAGGGATGCTGGAAGGTCATTAAGACTGTCATACGGATTGGGCCATGATTGTGGCCCTGCGGCTTGTGATGGTGTTAGCTGTGGTGCTTCAGCAGAAGGTCTGTCTGCTGAGTCCACAGATTCGCGCCTGGAAGGCATAAGCGATGACCCTCTTTCACTCTCAGGTTGGGTTTCAAGACGGGGTCTCACGTTTCTGTCGGCACGAGGGGCAACACTTGATCTCCGTCTGTCCAGACTGGAACTGGCAGCTTCAATCAGTTCATCTGTACCATTTACTTCATCTGACATGTCTTCACCATCAATGGTGATTTCCGGTACAGTTACCCTGCATTATCCAATTCTTCATCTTCGGGTATTGGTGGTAAATCCTCATTATTATCTCCCCAATTTATGAATGGTAGTTCAGCTCCCTCGCCTGAGGCAATTGGTTCAGGCGCCTCGAATACGGATGGCTCATATCCGTCACTTTGGGAATCTGGGGAAATTCGAGCATCCAAAAAGGATTGCTGTTCACCTCCGATCACGACCTCATCAGGAATGACAGGCTGCCCATGGAGAACCGAATGCGCCAATGCTTCACTTGGAGTAGCTACCTTCACATTCTGACTGGCCACTAGTACCGGGACATTTCCACAAAGCAACCATAGGTTTCTCTCTCCCTCATGGCCTATCACCCTACTTGTGGGGCTCCATCGTGTGCCTCCCCGCTGGTTATCCCTGCGAAAAGTCACCAAGTCCCCGATTTCGAAGTCTCTCGGAAAAGGTGATGTGTTTTTGGTCATGGCTCGCTGGACACGCTTGGAGCAATCGAGGTATACAAATGCTTTCTGTGCTTCCTGCCTAGCAAGATGCTGCAAAGCAAAAATGCTTTCGGGGTTGTGCTGGGCCTCCAAGGCTCCGAGCTCTGCAAATCGCTCTTCGGACAATGGACTGGGGTCTGAGCGTGGTGCCTTACCCAACACCCACTGTGATGGTGAAAAACCTCCTACACGTGATGCATTATTCTTCACCATGAGCACCTCTTGCAGAACTGACTCAACCTGTTCTCTGCCAAGAGGTTGAGTTTCTTTTGAGACCTTTCGGAAAAGAGCTTTGGCAATGGCCCCGTGGCGCTCTACACGGCCAAGGTTTTCAGGTGCCTCAAGTGGGCTGTGATAAACCTGAATGCCATGATCGTCCATGTACTTTGACAGTACACCACGGTTATGAGACTACGTAGTAACCGCGTTAAGCACTAGTCATAGTAACCACGATAGAAAAACTTAGTAACCACGATAAGAATTAGACATGGTAACCACGATTAAGTCTTAAACTGCGTAGAGAGGACATAGTAACCCGTTTCGTACCGGGAAATCAAAAAAAAAAGGAAAAAGAGAGGAAAAAAAAGAGAGGAAAAAGAGATCATCGTTTCGTACCGGAAATCGTCGTTTCGTACTGAGAAATCATCGTTTCGTACCGAGACATCATCGTTTCGTACCGAGAAATCATCGTTTCGTACCGGGAAATCAAAAAAAGAGAGGAAAAAGAAAGGGAAAAAAGAGAGGAAAAAGAGAGGAAAAAGAGGAGAAATCATCGTTTCGTACCGAGACATCATCGTTTCGTACCGAGAAATCATCGTTTCGTACCGGGAAATCAAAAAAAGAGAGGAAAACGAAAGGAAAAAAAGAGAGGAAAAAGAGGAGAAATCATCGTTTCGTACCGGGAAATCAAAAAAAGAGAGGAAAAAGAGA